TGGAAAAATTTGAAGAAGAAGTGAAACTGGTAACAAAAACATGCATAACCACAAATTCACTGGGAGCAAAAATGCAGAGGGTAGTTGGCTTTATTCTGACAGGTTATGGTTCTGTTATTTATGCATTGAAATATCTCGAATCGAGCTCGATTTTAAAAGGAAATTTTATCGAATCAGTGAATCACTTTCGGCTACATTTAATGATAATATCCTTCCTAATTTACTGCCATCGGTCAAAACAGAATTAAGCCGACACCCATGGCTCTTTCCACTTGTTGTGCCCGTCGAATTTTTGAGTGGTGTGGACGGACTGGAAGTATTAGGAGCTGTCGCGAAATATAATCTGCAACTTTCCTAGAAAATAGATCCGTTTCATTAAGGAACGAATTCATTAGCAAAAAATCGGACTGACAATTAAGTTATGAATAACATATTGTAATTTAACGATAGTGAAACATTATAGATACTATCGCAAAATATCATAATTCATTTCTATCAGTAATCAACTCCATTCAGACAATGAAATTCAAGGAAATTATTCATAGTACTTGACAAAGTGGGATTGAATTACCAATTTCATCCCATTGCAGTTATTATGGATTCAAAGAATAATTCCCGAGAATCTAGACACATTTATGATGTCGGCAAGGTCATATACTGGCACAGGATATCGTATTTTAACTCTTAACTGAATGTGGATTTTCACAAAGTAGGTCATAGGTGTGGTAAAGGGGCCAAGTTCCACTCTTATTTATTTTTTTCTGAATTGAATTTTGATCTTGCAAAAGAAAGAAAAAATACGTATATATTAATTTGTACAAACTTCACAGTGAGATACAAACCTCGATATGGGAAACTTACCCATTGAAATGACGCAATTTGTATCTGATTATTCTTGTCATACCTTTGAACTAGAAAAGAAACACTTGAGGTTTTATTCGTCTATACGTATTATAACATAGATTTCGGAAGGATAAAATCCAATGTTCTGCGTGGCATATAGCCAGAGAAGTAGTTCTTTTTCTTTCGTTATCTACCATTTTCATTCATTTTATGAACTATCGTGGTAATGGCTTTGAGCTTCTCGCTCTTTGTGACAATCAACTTCTCTGAAATCTATGGAATAGACATCGATTTCTTCGAAATTTTCATAGATCAATGTGATGATTGTAATCTAGTATACATTGGTCGAACTTGTAGAATGTAATGATTGTAATCTAGTATACATTGGTCAAACTTGTAGAACGTTTAAAGACAGAATCACTTCATAGAGAAGTGATTGTAAAAGGAATCTAAAATCATGTAGCTTGACTGAACACGTTATAGATGAAGATCATAGAATGAAGAACGATAATGCTGAAATTCTGGATTATGAAAACATCTGAACAAACGACTATTTCTTCAAATGGTGCATATCAATGAAAATGACAAATCGATAAACAAAACAACTGATACCATATAAAGTCTGTCCAAGATAAGGTTGAACAGCATGGGGATCTCGAAATTTTCAAAAGTATTTTTAGTTTTTAAGTTATATCGAAAAAAGTGAATTTTTGGAATATCTTTTTAATTTTTTTTTCTCCGGTATTATCAGAGATACAGGAAAACTGAAAACACTTCTCCATAGCAACTTTTGATGACGTTCAAAGTGGTGATACCGATTTTTTAAGCGACGTTTCGTATTCGTAGAACCATCATCAACTTTTGTTTTTTGAATACGGTCCTGATAATTTTTTCACAGATTTCAAAAGTTTTTGTTATTCTAAATTCAACCATGTATTATACAAGGTGGTTTATTTGTGTTTCGACCAATTTTTAGCCATCATCAATGTTTTTTCGAAATTTCGAAGGAAAAATGCCATCAAATCCACTTATTTTGAAGAAAAATTAGTCAAGACAGTAATGATTCATCAACTGGTTTCAATCAACAACCCATTCTATTTTGCGGAAACAAAAATTCCATCAATACAAATTCAGAATATGTCAAGCGCTAAAACCAGGCGATGACGAAAGGCGCAGGACGTTCTGTGAGTGGTATACCAGGAAATGTCGAAATTTTGCAGATTTCCCTCGAACAATCATCTGGACTGATGAAAGCATGGTCACTAATCATGGTATCTTCGATAGAAAAAATACACATTATTGTTCACGAGAAAATGAACATTTATACATTACAGCGAGACACCAACACCGTTTCGGCATTAATATGTGGGTTGCAATATTTGGTACACGAATTATTGGTCCCTTTATTTACCATGAAACACAGACTAACGAACGTTATAGAAATTTGCTTGAGAATCATCTTGAGGCAGCTGTTTGTTTCAACAAGATGGCGCTCCGGTACATAATTCCAGAGAACTGCGTTTTTATCCAGAAACATGGATTGGTACTCATTCTATAGTCCCTTGTAGTGATTCACATGAGACCAACGAGACGAGACTTTCATAAAATCTCGTCTCGTCTCGCGGATGAAATATGAAGTATTGTCTCGAGTCTCGTCTCGCACCCTCAAGTCTCGTCTTGTCTCGCGTCTCGTACGAGAGTCTCGCATATGTATCGCATTTCGTCATGCATAATCTTGTTCCAGTATAGTACGGGATATTTACCTTCACATACTTTTTAGGTATAATGTGAAAGTAGGAAGAGAAAATAACAACAAAAATAACATTTTTTGAGAAGGAACATTCTCAGTAATATTTATGGACACAAAAAATGGATATACCGGGTGTCAACGAATCTATTAGACAAGTCATAACTTCTAGACCATTAGGTGTATAAAAATGAGATTTGGTATAGGTAAATGGTATATGAAGAGGAGAGTTTTCACAAATTTTTTACTTTCCGGTTACTTCCGGATTCACCGGAAATGGCTCCGGTTCTAAAGTTGTAAAGGGAGCACCCTGTATATTGTAATATTTTTGGATTTCTGAGACAATTCTAGATCAGAATGTGACATTTTCGAAAGTTTTAATGCCTACTTAATTTTTTTGGAGTCACTTTTGAAATTACTTCTAGGTGGCCATGATCGGAAGTAAATTAATCTAAGGACCTGAGAAAATTACAATCGCGAAATTTTGGTGATAAGACATGATAAGACAAGTTGGCAAAATGAAATTTTCATGTCCAACTATTATTTTTCAAATGTCGACCATTTTTTGACAAGCACTTTCCGAAAAAAGGACATTTTGACGAATCTAATCTAATATAGGTACATACTTACATCATATACATCTAAACAAGAGAAAAAACATAGCATTATATATTCGAAAGTTATAAAAATAAAATAAAATGTTTTGTCTATCTGTGCGAAATAGTCTGAATTCTTTTTGAATATGTTTTATTATGAATGAAATTCTCAAGTCTGCAGTCGGCACGCAGAAATATTTACCTGCGAGACTCTCGCACGAGACACGAGAAGTCTTGCACGAGACTCGAGACGAGACCAATAAAAGTCTCGTCTCGTATTGTCCGAGTCTCGTCTCGAGTCTTGTCTCGAAAACGAGACGAGACCATGCGAGACTCTCGAAAACGAGACTCACGCGGGCACCACTAGTCCCTTGGCCGGCGCGGTCGCCTGATTTGACACAGCTGGATTTTTTCTTAGGGTATATATCAAAAGCTTTGTAAACGCAAATAATTTTGATGATGAAGAAGAACTAAGGGACAGTGTCATCGAAGCATTCAATAGAATAACCCCAGAAATGCTTAGTGATGTCTTAGAAGCAACTGTGAGAAGAGAATATCTTTGTTCAGAAAATAATGGTTATCATTTTGAACATTCGTTATGAATGTTTCTGTAGGTATTGTCAAAGTTAAGTTGTTAATGTATTTCGTGTAAGAATTCATCAACAATTTTAAGCGCTGCATTGAATGATGTAGTGAAATATTTTTTATTCACTTCTCAGTATTGAATAACTAACCCACCAATGTTTGACACTAAATGATCAGTAATTAGTGGAACTGATGGCTTTTTTTCTTTGGAAGTTCGAAAAAACATTGATGATGGATAGAAATAGGTCGAAACACATTCGACTGACCTTGTATCATACATATTTGAATTCAGAATAGAAAAACCTTTCAGAATCTGTGAAAAAATCATCAGGACCTTATTCAAAAAACGAAAGTTGAAGATGGTTCTACGGATACGAAACGTCGCATACAAAAATAAGTTTCACCACGATAAACGTCATCAAAAGTTGCTATGAAAAAGTATTCTCAGTTTTTCTGTATCTGTGATAATAACAGAGAAAAAAAATAGATATTCCCAAAATTCACTTTTTTCGATATACTTAACTCAAAAACTAGAAATAATTTTGGAAATGTTCGAAGGCTCTTGATATGAGCCTCCGAATGCACAACTTTTTCCCCATTTAAACGATTTCGTATCTCCTACCGTTTCCGAGAACCTCGTGCTGTTCAACCTAATCTTGGACAGACTGTATACATTCCTCTAACCTATGACATTTTTTGTCAAATTATTTCATTTTATTTATTCACATATGTTTTTTTGCGATGATTTCATATATTATTTCATGTTTGTGAGTGTACCAATAGAATTACTTGATTTACATTCATGTACTATCATTTTTGTTCGTTCGATCTTTTAGTAAGTCTTGATGAAGAAAATAAACATCTTCGAGAGCTCGACAAATGAAACTAAGAAATCTGACAGATATTGGTTAAAACTACTGCTTTTCATCGATATTCCTCCGAATATATCAATTTGGTGCTGTACAATGTTTTTTTAATGCGTGAAAACTTTTGGTGGTTCTAAGTGCTTCAGTTTCTCGTTACATTTTCCCAACCTTGTAAATAATACATTATATTTGAATTCACCCATTTGTGTTTATGCTTATTGTTCGGAGAAGACCTTATGCACCGATAAAACAACCTTGCACTACCGATATCCCGCCGCTGCCCATGAACTTCACCAATAAAATTACGTAAACCAGATAACCGATAACCGACAATTAATAGCACCATCGAATTTCGGCGGTAGTGGGACCGCACACGGCCATAAAAACACATCCACCGCCTTCTCGTCAAACTTTAAGTCGGTGGCCCTACATCCGACCGCGATGCATCTTCTGTTCCGCGTGCTCTTTTGTTTCCTCACAGCCGCCTCTGTGGCGGTGGCTGCAGCGCAGCAGAAGTGCGGTTCCAGGAGCGTGCAGTGGCGGGCTCCGAGGGTGGTGGGAGGCGAGGAGCCGCCCTTGGGAGCGGTGCCCTGGCAGGTGGACCTGCGGTCGGACGGAAGGCATTCTTGCGGGGGCGCGTTGATTGGTAGACGGCTGGTGGTGACTGCGGCGCATTGTTTCGGGGAGGATTTGGTTGCGGTTGCTGGGGCACATGGGCCTCCAGGTGAGTCGATGATGAGGTTATTCGAAGTGGTAACCTATTTTACTTATTGAGCATATTTTCAAAAAAAATTTGAAAATATTCAAATACTATCTGTAGATTAATCGAGGAGGTGGTATATTCATTTTACTTGATTTTTTGGGATTTTCTCTCCTCGTTTCTATAAAATAGAAATATTCTCATCATTTCAATATATTTGTAGTGGGACAAATCAGATGATTTGCCCCAAAATGTCACAGCGTTGAACCAATTTTTCCATCAGGGAGCCTAAAATAAAAATCCAGTAGCTTGTCAGTGACACTTTGTCCGAAAAATTGTTTGAAGGAATGAAATATAGATATTTTGTGAAAATATCGAATTTTTACTTATCTTTGGACGTTGCGGGAACCGATCTGCTCTCGTTCTCAACATGAAAATGAAGACCTCGGTGCAATAACCGAACAGCTCCAATTTTTCAAAATGTTGGGGAATGGGAAAAAACTTAATATTTTTGAGAAACTTGAAAAATATTATGCTAAATGGTATGAATCTCTTAGAGTTACGTTAGATGAGCTGTATTAACTCAGATAGTAATTTTCATTTACATTGTAGTAGCTAAAAAAGGAGTTTGAAAAAATGGAGTTGCCTGTTTCTTGCCCCAAAAAGACAAAATTCTGAAAATATAGTCAAACTTGTGTAATAATCTTGCTATTTTATCGAAAACGGAATATATAACGGAAAATATTGTGGACAAATAGTGTTTTGGATAGGAAGAGTCGATGACGTCTCCTGCGTCTTAAACTTCGTGAACATTGCAAGAATTTGGGTCCTCCTCATCAACAGTTATGTTTTCGGAACATATTCACTCCCCGATTCTCGAAAGGGCTCACTTTCACTTTCCGACGACATCACATTGCATTGTATGAAACAAATGATCCACACACAATGGAAGACGCGGGAAGGCTTGCCGCTAATAACCTCACTCCGACATCTCTCACTACACGCGTACATTTCGGTGCTAAAATCGGGTAACTCCAGGAGTTGCCCGACTCTAGCACCGTCATGGCGTACATTTCAGTGCAAAAATCGGGTAACTCCTGGAGTTGCTCGACTCTTGCACCTCAATGGCTCATCAGGTAAATCCTTTCCCGTGTAAACTTAATCGGAAATTGTTGGATTCGCTTGATTCTTGTACCAAAAGATGCGCAAGAAAAAACTCTATATGTTAAATAACCCAATTCCGGCATAAAATGGAGTTACCCGGTTCTTGCACCGAGGTCTTCAAATGCAAAATATCTTTCTCTGGAAGTTGTGCTTTGCTCATATTTTGACATTTCTCAGTGTCATACTGATGTTGGCATATAAATGAGTGATTTTAGTCTACAAATGAGTTACAGGATGGTTCAATTAATTGATCTTGAATCTACCATTTTCATGTTCAGTTTTCAGTAATGAATACCATGTTCTATCTATATCAACTGAACAGGAAGCAATGCTATTGTCTCCGTTCAGCAGAATGCAAGCGGATTCCTTGATTTTTCTCTTTTGGTTGTGATCTTCCTTTCCTATGATTTTGATATTATTTCACTCTGCCATATGTTGTCCATCTTCAGTAAGGATATGTTCAGTTAGCTTCGTATTATCGCTATGTCTCCTCTTGATATTGAACTTTCTTATAATTGTGCTTAATTTTTTGGCTTTGTTTGAGTTAGAATGGATCTCATTGTATTTTCAGTTTTGAACACAGTTTTCACTTGGAATATATCACCAACACGTTTTATTTATAGCATACCTTGTGTTTGTGGAAAGAATTATACAGGTGAAACGGAAAGACCTCTCTCAGTAAGGACTAACGAACACAAGTACAATATCAAGAAGAGACATAGGTATCGATGATTCGAAGCTGACTGAACATATCCTTACTGGAGATGGACAACATATGACAGAGTGGAATAATATCAAAATCATAGGGAAGGAAGATGACAACTAATAAAGAAAAATCAAGGAATCCGTTTTCATTCTTCTGAACGAACACAATAGCATTGCTTCCTGTTCAGTTGATATAGATAGAACATGGTATACACTACTGAAAACTGATCATGAAAATGGTTGATTCAAGATCAATTGATGAAAACATCCTGTAACTCATTTGTAGACTAAAATCACTCATTCATATGCCAACATCAGTATGACACTGGGAAGTGTTAAACTATAAGCAAAGCACAACTATCGAAGGAAAATATTTTGCATTTTCGGAAAGGGAACAGATTCGTTCTCGAAACGTCCAAAGATAAGTAATAATTCCATATTTTTTCAATATATCTATATTTCTTCCCTTCAAACAATTTTCCAAACAAAGTGTCGCTGACAAGCTACTGGATTTATCTTTCAGGCTTTCTGATAGAAACATTTGTTGAACGCAGTGACATTCTCGGGCATATCATCTGATTTGTCTTACTACAAATATACGAGGAGGAAAAATCACAAAAAATCAAGTAAAATGAATATTTTGATCAGTTCGGTTTCCAAGAAAATAGTGACGCACAAGCAGTAGTAATACAAGTTGTACAAACAATTCAAGAGGGACTTGATACGAGAAATTACGTTGTAGCTATTTCCATTGACCATAAGAAACACTCAAAATACTCGAAATCGATGAGACTATTAAAACCTTCCAAAATCTTATCCAAAGAAATAGGAAAACCAGCATTAAGTGTATTATGTCAAAGTCTGATATACTTTCAATGAGTAGAGGTGTTCCACATGGATCTGTTTCAGGGCCATGTTGTATTTATTATATATTCGGAATACATCTGAAATTGGATCATCAGGTACCGTGGACCACAGAATCCTTTTATCAAGTTTATACGATCTGGGGGTAAGGGGTGAAGCATACGACCTTTTCAAGTCCTACTTGACTGATAGGGAACAACGAACAGAAATACAAAACATTCTCGGCGAAAAAGAAATTATATCATGTGGTGTACCCCAAGGAACGGTATTAGGACCGCTGCTCTTCAATATATATTTGAACAATTTGTTCTCTATACGAACACATGGCCGTATTTTGAGTTCTGCAGATGATACTGTCATATTTTATGAAGCAAAAAACTGGGACGACTTGAAAAATATAATTGAAACTGATTTTATTAACATCAAAAAATGGTTCGATAATACACTATTATCAATCAATCTAAATAAAACTTTTCATCTGCCATTTTGTAGCATAGGTATCGACAAACCTCCCAACCTTCGATAAAATATTAGAAGAAGATCTCAAAATACTGCCATCAAAAAGTGTTGAATATCTAGGTATGATAATAGACAGTCACCTTAGATGGGACGTGCACATCAAATATCTCGTTAAAAAATTACGTTGTGTTCTGTATAGATTCAAACATATTTCAAATATACTTGACAATAAACAAAAAAAATACTTTACCATAGTTTAGTTGAATCACACCTAGATTATGGCATCATTGGATGGGGTGGAGTATCTAAGACATACCTAAAGCCGCTAGAAATTATCCAAAAGCGATTTTTGAAACAAATACTGTGTAAAAGTACCCGTTTCCATGTAAAGCTTTATACGAAGAGGCACAGGTACACGATTTAAGGCAACTTTTTTTTAAGAAATCAGGACTAACACAATATATACATAAGAATGAACTTCTAACATACACTAACAATCACGAGACGCGCCACAAAAATGAATTTATACTTCTTCTCATGGATAAAGCGATTGGTCAGAGCTGTTATAAATATTTATGACCGAAAGTATTCAATAATATACCAGAAAATATCAAAAATGAACCAACAGTTGAACGTTTCAAAAAGTCGTTAAAAGAGTATATCAGAATAAAACCATCAATGTACATAAAATCAATAGTGGAAAACTAATATATTAGTCACTATGCTATGCTTCGCATATAAATAGTTGAGTTATCAGTGGCTCCACAACGTTTTTCGCTTGGTCTGGCTGTTAGTTAGTTGAATTTTGGATTATTAAAACATTTATATAACACTAAAAAATACTTTTTCTCTGCGCAACATATTATGATTAAGTTAATGCTAGGGTACTTTTTCTCAAATTTATTTATATTTATATATAGGTACATTGTCGATTTTTGTATATCTTTTTTACTCTACACACAGGTATATGGGTATCTGATATTCATATTCCTCGTAGATTCATCCGTTTATTCACATTTCAATTGTATCTGATTTCATTGTTAACATATATGTAAGGTGAATAAATTATTATTATTATTATTATTATTATTATTATTATTAATCATACAATATATGTAGGTGATTTTGTCCTTTTGTGAAAAATCGAAAACCTTCATATTATAGAAGATATTATTGACGCAGATTTGAAAAAATTTTGAAACTGACTTTATTCAAATATTCCATCAATAAATGCCAATGAAACTGAATATATAAATTCCCATCGGAACTATATGAGTCTCGATCTCCACATCAAGAATGGAGTATTGAAAAGAACTACACAAATATCTTGGTATCTGAATTGATGGAGAATTGAAATGAAACAAGCATAGAGAGGTTCTAATACAAAACATATATCAATCACCGCTGTATTGATAAGATGTTCTGAACTTGATGAAAGAATCATGAAGATATAACTTCATCCTCATTTACTCAGTCGTATGTGATAAACGTTTGGGAACCACATGACTTGATAGGAAATCTCTGAGTATTGTATCTCCTCTGATTTGATATCCCAACCAATGAGCTGTATGCTCCATTGGATGAATTGTATTGTATAGATACTCTAAAATTTCCATATACTATCATGAACAGAAATTTGTAATACTATTTTGTTTCAATAAAATCATGTTCATCACACGAGACAATCAGACTTCACCAATTTACCACAAAATATAGAGAATTCAGAATTTGAAATTGCAATGATTGAACCTATTACTGATTAGTCCCTGTTGCATTTTTGAGATATGATCGATTTAGCATTATCCGTAATATAGATTTCTCTGTTGTTTTTG